GAATTGGATTTATAAAATATGACATTCGGTATTTAGAAAATCTCGTCTAAAAGCCCACCTCCTACGAAGTGTAACCTATCCACCCTTAGAGAGAAACCCTTAGCCCTCCCCACAGTAGAGGTACCTAGAGTATGTATTTAGTCTAGATGAACTTACCTAGATAGGTGACCTTAGGGAGGGGAAAAAAGAACGAGAGTGAAGGGTGGGAAATACTCGCCTCCTGTCATTAATAAAATTAAGATTATCGGTACACTAAAGTTAGCATAATCTACAATTTTATAACATGACAGGAGGCTTCGTATTTGCTGTTTTAACGCTCCCCAAGAAGGGCTAAGGAAGCGTGCACAGCCGGATGAAAATAGAAGTTGCGTAAAGTCTGTTCCCGGGACCAGTCTGCTGAGTGGAGAATGTCCCGAAGTGAGGCTCCAGCGCTGAAAGCTCCCGATGCCGCCGCTCCCCTGATAGAGTGGGCTCCGAAGGAGGCCTCAATCCCAGCGAGGGAGAGCAACCACCTAACCCATCGGGCAAGGGTTATGGTTGACACCGGATTATGTGGACGGACGTAGGAGATCAATAGTTGGCTGGAGGAGGTTGAACGAAGGGAGGAGGTGAGTAGTAAATAACGAGAGAGAAGTGATACCACACACAATTTTGGATGGTTAGGGAAATAAGGGTAAAATACCGAAGAAGAGTTTGATTTTGTCCGTCTGGACACGGAAAAGGTGACACCTTCGGGGGAAAAATTGATAGCGTCATGGTCAAATGCTCGAACATCCGACACTCGTCGGAAGGATACTAAGCAGAGTAGCAGGGTGAATTTAGCCGAGAGTTGACGGAGGGTTAGATCTTCGTTGTTCGGCCAGGTTTCCAGGAAACGAATCATGACGTTAACATCCCATAGATGGGAGTATTTTGGTGTTGGGGGGCGAGCCAGTTTGATGCCCCTCAATAGTCTGCAAACCAGCGGGTCCTGGCCCGCTGGAATCCCATGTAGAGGGACATGGGCTGCCGAGATTGCTGACCGGGCCACGTTGATGGACCGGTAAGTACGGCCTAAGTCGAACAGGTGTGAGAGGAAATTCAGTATGGACTGTCTAGGGGCTGTAAGGGGATCGGTATTCCGTTCCATGCACCAATTGCACCAAGTACTCCAGGAAGAAAGGTAGCATCTTCTGGTTCCAGGAGCCCAGGAATCCCAGAGAAGTTCTTTAGATCTCTGCGATAATTCTCCGAAATTCCAGGATCCCCTGAAAGAGTCCAAGCCACTAATTGGAGATGACCTTGCATTATCATCGGATGAGGGTTTCCTTGAGGGTCCTCTAACAGGTTGGGCCATAGAGGTAGAAGGAGGGGATGTTGGCAGGAGAGGTCCAGGAGATCTGGGAACCATGCTTGGCCCTGCCAGAGCGGGGTGAGTAGTACCAGTGTGACCTGTTGTCTGCGAATCTGAAGAAGGGTTCTTGGGATCATCGCGAACGGAGGGAAGGCGTAGGCTCCCGTCGTCGGCCATTTCTGAAGAAAGGCATCTACTGCCAAACATTCCGGGTCTGGTAGCCAGCTGAAGAAGCGTGGGACTTGAAAATTCGTCCGGGAGGCGAACAGGTCCAGAGTAAACGGGCCCCTGAGTTTGGAGACGTGGAGGAAGACTGACCTGTGTAAGCGCCAGTCGCTGCCGTCTCTCCAATGTCGGGAGAACCAATCCGCAGTGGTGTTCGTCTCCCCCGGAAGGTATTCTGCCCGGAGTGTTATGTTGCGCTGGAAGCAAAAATTGTAGATGTCCTTTGTCACCTCGGACAGGGTGTGAGATCTGGCCCCGCCCAATTTGTTGATGTATTGAACGGCCGAGATATTGTCCATTCGGAGGAGAATACAGCAGTCTGAGAGATGATTGGCCAGACTGCGGATTGCAAACGATCCTGCGATTAATTCCAGACAGTTGATGTGGAGAGAGTGTTCTGCGTCGGTCCATGGTCCCCCGGTGGAAGTTGTATGACAAGTTGCACCCCAGCCTTGGAGGCTCGCGTCTGATTCCACCACAAAGTCCGGAGTGGGACCAAAAATTGCTTTGCCGTTCCAGGCAGACATGTGGCGAAGCCACCAGTAGAGTTCCTCCCTCACCTCGGTAGTGATCGGGACCCTTTGGTCGTATGATGGATGGGTCTGGAGGAATTGAGCCTTCAAGCGTTGCATGGCCCGATAATGGAGGGGACCTGGGTAGATTGCTTGAATGGAGGCAGAAAGCAGGCCTATAATCCGAGCCAAACCTCGGAGAGGTAGATCCACTTGGCGAAGCGTCTTGCGCAGTTCCTTCCTGATCGCGGTTAACTTGGACTGAGGCAGGCGGAGAACACAGGTGGAGGAGTCGATCTCGAAGCCGAGAAACTGTATGATTTGGGATGGAGTCAGCGAGGATTTTTCCTTGTTGATGACGAATCCCAAGGATTCTATCAATGAGGATGTGTAGTTCGTCTGTGACTGCAGCGTGGAGATGTTGTCGCAGAGTAGTAAGAGGTCGTCGAGGTAGATTAGGCAGCGAAAACCCCTTGCTCGAAGATGTGCGGTGACTGGCTTGAGCAGTTTGGTGAAGCACCAGGGAGCGGAACTCAGGCCGAATGGAAGGCAGGTGAATTGGAAGATCCGGTGGTGCCAGGGGAAGCGGAGGAAACGTCGACTGGATGGATGTACTGGCACGGAGAGGTAAGCATCCTTGAGGTCGAGTCGGGTGAACCAATCGCCTGGACGGAGAATGTCTCTGAGGAGATGTATCCCTTCCATTTTGAAATGCCGGTATATCACGAAGGTATTCAATTGGCGAAGGTTGATTACCGGGCGAAATTCTCCCGATTTCTTTTTGACCAGGAATATGGAACTTAGAAAGCCTTCGTCGTGTGGAGCGGGTTGAATTGCTCCTTTTGTTAGCAAGGAACGTAGTTCTGAATCGAGGAGGAGCCATTGAGATTTTGACATTATCGGGTAATGGGGAGGACCTGTTTGAGTAGGGAGAGAATAAAATTCTATGAAATAACCCTGAACCGTGTTTAGAACCCATGTATCTGAAGACAGCGTCTTCCACATATCCACACAATGTAACAACCTGCCCGCATGAGAAACCGTAGAGAGGTGAAAAGTAGGAAATCTCACCTGTTGGGTATCTGTAGTGTCCACGGGCTCTACCTCCTCTTCCCCTATCTGACCTTTGGGTGTAGAAACCTCTATTTTGATAGTTGGGGAAGAATGGTGAAGTGGGGGTTCGTTGGCGTTGGCTTGTGGGCCAGAAGCGGCTGACTGCACGACCCCTTGGACGGCCAGCCCTGCCAAAAACCCGAGAGGGTTGTTGGTGGAATACTCTTCTCATGGATGATTGCGCCTTGTTCAGGGTGGCGTATAAATTTACATGCTTGTGTAATTCTTTAATATAGGGTTCTCCAAATAATAGACCCTTGGCCTTGGGGCCCAACTCTTTGGTCCCTAGGTCGGCTAGTTTGGCATCCATACGCAGCAGCACTGCTTTTCTACGCTCGGTAGAGAGGGAAGTATTTGCATTGCCCAGCAGGCAAATGGAGCGTAGTGCCCATTCTCTGATCACAGATGGGTCTAAAGGGCCCTCGTTAGTGAGGGCTTCATCAGCCAGTAGTAGAATTCTTGCCAAGGGCCCTAGGACATCCAACATCTTGTCCTGGGTGATGCGTAGGCTGCGCTCAATGCCCTTTTTAGGGTCACGGCCAGATCTGGCTAAATATGTGTAGAGCAGGGAATCAAACTCCGGGGTCATAGCGACCTTGTCTGGTAAGGTGGGTCTAGGGCATTCAGCTCTTAGGCGTTTGCGGACCTCCCGGTCTAGGGGTCTCCTTATCCAGAAATGGATATATTGTGAAAGGTGATTTGGGAGTGACCATTCTGAAGATCGAGGGTATCTGATCTGTCGTGGGTCAAATAGTGGTTCACCAAGCGTATCCAGAAAGGTTTCGGGTACTGAAACCTCAGTAGTGGGGTCTCCCGTGATATCTTGAGGGAAAGGTGCTTCTCTGAAAGATGTCTCAGGCCAGACTTCTTCGTCTTCTGAAGAGTGGCCAGCTTGCCATTCATCTAGAATGGCCAATGGGTGTGAGTCGAAAGAGTCGTCTTCCTCCTCCGACAAGGTAGGCTGTATGGAATGTTTTTCCCTGGCGTCCGCTTGTTTTGGGCGTTTAGCCGGTTCTTTCCCTTTGCGTTTGAGTGATTCTGGCCCATCCCCTTTCCAATATCGTTTATTGAGTTTGGAAGGGTTCCTTCTTGTAGAATCGGAATCATCCGCCTCTTCATCAGAGTGCGGGGGCTCAGAAATTTTGGTATCTTTGGGCTCAATGGGCAGCACCCGAGCCAGGGTCTTTTCTAGTGAAGCGGCAACAGCCGCGTTTATAATCGCTTGCAGATTTTGGTCTTGGTTTGAAGCCTCCATAGCAACAGTGTTGGTACCTATGGGGCAGAATAGGCCAGCATTAGAAAGTATTTTAGGGCCGTCTTGTATATCAAAAGATATTTAATTTCAACAGTGCAAGCTGTAATGGGGGTCACCCAGATACAATAACCTCAGAGTGCTTATTTAAACTCGTGTAGAGGTATGGTGGCACAGACAAAGCGGGCCAGTCATGGGCTGTATGGTATAACAGCAATCATAAAATATATATAGGGACTTACCCTTAGAAAAATCACAATATGACTGTGATAAATATTTAGCTGGCTGGTATTGGGGGTTGCTCCCAATATAACAGTATTGAGTAGTTTAATATACATGCATAATAATATTGGTAATGTAGTACCTTTAATTCACCACCAGGGGGAGTAGTGTAAGCGAAAATTCTCCTGAACTGAATTACAGAGAGAAGTATCTCTTGTGAAAAACAAATTCTGCTCTGAGGGAAATATTGTCTGAGAAATATAAGTGAGAGAACTTATATATGTGAAACTTGTAAAATATTTGTACTGCCGATTAACAATTAAAATGGCTGCCGTGCGGCTAGAATGGTCGCCGATCGCGGCTCCAACAAAATGGCCGCCGCGATCTCGCGCATGCGCAAAAGGTGCAAACGGCCGTTCGGATCTCGCGGCAATGCGCGAGATCCAAGATGGCCGCTGTGCGCGCTCAGGGCCGATGGAGGCGTACTCCACAGCCCAAAAGCCCGGGAAAAACGGGGGCAAAATATGCCGACCGCAACCCGGACCAATAAAAGTAAGAGACACAAAGAAAAAGTATAGAAAAATGAAACAGAACGTAAGGGACAGTACAAAAGGACTAAAGGGAGAAAATTAGGCAGTAATAAGTTAAGAGAGAAAACTTTAGAAGATAGCTAAGGTGGGACAAGCACCTTAGAAATAGGAATATAAGAATATAGCTAAAGTATGGGAAACATAGCTAAGAAAAAACAAAGATTAAATAACAAGTTAAAATAAAGAGGATAGTAAATAACCCACAGAAAGTAAGAGGCAGTGGCACTCTGACCTGTACTGGTGTGAAGCAGCAAAGAAAGAGGAAGTGACATCACAGGGAGGGACTCTTATACCTTGTTATCTCTTTTTCTGATTGGTTACCCTGTTACTAAGTAAAAAAGTGCTGCTGTGAAGCTTAAGTAAAGAAAGACTTAAGCAAATACGAAGCCTCCTGTCATGTTATAAAATTAAATACAAGTATTAAAGTATTTAGTGTGTGATTGCATGTGAATAGTTTTGTGCTTTGCCTCTCTACACCTCCACTCATGAACTTATAATAAAATGTATGATGATAGGTGATCTTCACTTAAAACCCCATGTATATACAATACAAAGATGATTTCACCTTACCTTTACACCATTTACATCAAATATGTGGTTGCCTTCGTGTCCATCAATCTCTATTTACATCAAATACAAGGAGGACTTTATTTCCCTAGAAACCATTATGCACATTACATAATATGAGTTGTAATCTTCCTTCAGAACCATTTATATACAACTACATTTATATATCTATGCATTCCCTTAAACACATTTTTTTTATTAATTTTCCAATAGTTCATTATAAACACCCAAAAAACAAAACAAAACTGTTTATTAAAATTACTCATACCAATATAGGCTGTCAATAGGTATGTCTCAAATTATATTCCTACTCATGTAACATACTATTTATTATCATGCTAACAATTATGTGATATAATATTTCCCTTACTAGTTCCAATCAGTTTTTTTTTTTTATGTAATTGCCAATCTTTTCCCTTAAATGCCCGGTCAGGCTTTTGGTTGAACATAATAATTTAAACAATATACTGTTAATGTAAAATAAACCAATGATGATTCCATTACTGGCATTAACAATACACTACATTAAAGAAACACTGCAAGTACCATAACTGCTAGAGCACACACCCCTCCATAATGAGTCAAAACATTTTGGAACAGTTAAACTTCTTACTTGAGGCCCCCCAAAAACTACTTCTCATCTCATCTACAACTCAGTGAGAAACAAAAGTTTCTGCTCAGAAAATTAAATTAAGCATTTATCAGCATAATTTTAAAAGGCTATAATTATCAGATTTATTTATAGTTTTTGTGTGTGTTATGGCTTTGTTCTCCTTATGAAATGACTTTTATGTTATCTGTATATTGTTACATTTAGCTTTTAAAAATACCATTATAATTTAGTTGGCAAAAAAGTACATAAGCATCACAGTTTCTATGTGTACCATGTGATTTAAACCACACAACAAAATATCGTAATATCTAACATTTCTGATTTCTATGTGTTTTTTTTTTTTATTAAAAACATATGTTAACTTTGTACATATAACACAAAATGCTACTATAATTGTTCAAAAGTATAGTAATATTACAAAATATTTCCTGGTAGTAGTAATAGTAGTAGCAGCAGTGTCGTTATCATTAATTTGACATTTACAAATGGTACAAAAGTCCTTTAAATGTGACACTGTTTTGTCAGTGTTTTGTTTTATGCCACAGCAAACTACCCTTTTTTGTGTGGAATTAGTAGAACTCACAAATAAAGAAAGACACAGTAAAAAAATGAGCAATTCCTATCAGACAGAATCCATAAACATATTGGGTGCTTTAATTATTGTCTTTACACTGATCAGCCACAACATTAAAACTGTATGCCTAATATTGTGTAGGTCCCACTCGTGTTGCAAAAACAGCTCTGTTGACGCAAAACCTCTGAATATGTCCTGTGGTGCCTTGCATCAAGACATTAGCAGCAGATCCTTTGTGAGGTGATACCTCCATTAATAGGATTTGTTGACCCAGCACATTCCACAGATGCTCAGTCATATAGAGATCTGGTGAATTTGAAATCCAAAACCTTTAACTCTTTGTCATGTTTGTCAAACCATTCATGAACAATCATTTGATGGGTGGCAGGGTGCATTATCCTGCTGAAAGAGGCCACTGTCATCAGGAAATACTATTGCCATGAAGAGGCGTACATGGTCTGAAAAATTTCTAGGTAGGTGTTATGTGTCAAGGTAACATCCACATGAACGCCAGGACCTAAGGTTCCCAGAAGCTTCCATCTCTTCTCCAGGTAAACAATACACACGCACCCAGCCATCCACCTGAACTCAAAGAAAATGTGAATTGTCAGACCAGGCAACCTTTTTCCATTGGTCTGTGGTCTAGTTCATGTCCATATTGAAGGTTCTTTCATCAATGGACAGGTGTCATCATTGGCACTCTGACCAGTCTGCACTTAAGCAACCCCATACACAGCAAACTGCAATGCACTGTTTGTTTTGACACCTATCTCTCATGGGCATCATTAGTTTTACAGTAACTCTCATGTGTGATCGTACCAGACAGGCTAGCCTTCACTCTTCACATGCATCAATGAACCTTGGGCAACCATGATCCTGATTCTGGTTCACCAGTTGTCCTTCCTTACACCACTTTTGGTACATACTAATCACTGCATACTGGGAATACCCCACAAATTGCCATTTTGAAGATGATATGACCCAGTCGTCTGGTCATCACTATTTGCCGCTTGTCAAAGTTATTCAGATCTTTTCACTTGCCCCTTTTTCCTGCTTCCAACACATGAAATTTAAGAGATGACTGTTCACTTGCTATCTAATGTCACAAAAAGTGACATTGTAATGATATCATAAATTTATTTACTTCACCTTTCAGTAATTTTAATGTCATGTCCAATTACATGGTTACATATTTACATAGCTTAAAAGAGACATGCATCCATCAACTTCAACCTTTCTCTCATTTGTTTTTGCTGTTGATCCAAAAGAAGGCAAAAAAAACCAGTCTGAAACACATCCAGTTTTGCAACAAACTAGGAAAAAAATCCTTCTTGACTACAGAATGACAGTCAGATATCTCCTTCAAGAAGCTATTATTTCACTTATTAAAAATTATATCCCTCTATATTGTGTTTTTGCAAATATTTATCCAATTGCTGTTTAAACTTTGTATAGACACTGATAAAACCACCTCTTCAGGCACAGAATTCCACATCCTTATTGTTCTTACTGTAAAAAACCCATTCCTTTGCCTTAGACTAAATCTTATTTCTTCCATTCTAATTGCGTGATCTCGTGTCCTATGTATATTACTATTTATGAACTGTTTTCCAGACAGTTTGCATTGGCCCTGAATATAGTTGTATAAAGCTATAATATCCCTTCTGAGGCACCATTTTTTTTAAACTAAAGAAATTTAAATTTGTTAACCTTTCTTTGTCCCTTGAATAGTTTTTATTGTAACGTGTCATTCATGAGAAAGAGTGCATCGCAAATTGTACAATACACAGATGTATATTTGATAAAGAATACATACAAGGCAGTTTTTACCAAAATAAACATAGTAGAGAGTACAGGATACAGGGTAAGACTTATTTTGCAATTCAATGCATACATAATAGCATAATACAATGCAGGTCATACATTTTTACTTTTTATATCAGACACAGAGAGCAACACAGTGGAAAGAAAAAGAATGCATAACAATACTTAGCACTGTGATATATATCAGTATTCTTAGGTCATAATAAGGAGACGTATGTTACTCAGTGAATGCCCACTTAGATGAGTTCCCAAAGTGAGAGCATCTGGAAAAGAACAGTAGGGCTGTGTTCAAGTATTGTGAGAGGATGACAGAATGGGAGAGTTCCTGTTGGTAACTCTATTTGTTCCATCTGGACCAAATACATGCGAAAGCCTGACTGGTACCCTTTAACCTATGGGTTATTTCTTGGTATGATTTGGTTCTGTTCAATTTGTCCTATATAAGTTGGATGGGGGGAGGATTACTTTATTTCCAATATTGCATGGTTATATTCTTGGCTGCTATCAAGATATGTAGGATGAGTGTACAAATATATTTGTCTAAAGTGAACAGTAGAAAGTGTAGGAGGCAGACTTCGGGAAGGCTGGGCAATTTTGTCCCCGATACCTCAAAGCCTACAGTCCTGATTTGGTCCCAGAATGTTTTACACAGGACAAGAACATGTGACTCACAGCGCAAGTCTGGGTTCCACACCTCCAACAGTTAGAAGAAGCTCCAGAGTATACACCTCATCCACAACTAAGTGGCCATTTGTAGATGGTTGATACAGTGAGTTGCTTGTTTGGTTTGGGAGAAAGCTCTCCACCATAGGTCTGCTGTAAATTTCTTTTGCAATTCTATCTCCCACTTAGACATATAGGAGAATTTGAGTGTAGTATACTCTTGGATCATTTTGTAGCACATAGCCAATGGCTTCATTTCACTTCCTTGCCCCCAACACATTCGCCTCAGGCCATGCAGCTTTCCGTGGTCTGTGGACATAATGCCTAGTCTATTGATCACAGCTTTAACCCTCAGGTAGCGGAAAAAATCTCTACTCGGGAGCTGAAATTTATTTTGTAGATCAGGGAAAGGAAGCAGCCCTGTATCGTTAAACAGATGGGCAATTCTTAGGATAACTGTGCTTTACCAGGTGTGCAGTGGAAGGTCTGGGGTGTAGTAACGTAAAGTCCATATTGGGGAAAGAAGGTTTGATTGGGACCAAATAGATTTAGATGCACAAGAGTACTAGAGAGCCAGTGATACAGATATAAAGTTACCTGGAGATATGTTCAGGTGGAAACCATATAGCCAATATAAAAAGAACAGTGCTCTGTGCAAATAGGCGCTTAGTGATAGTATAAATATAAAACAGCAGCTCAAACACACGTGCAGGTATCCC